TAAGGTAATCATTTCAGCCACTATCCTCAGTATTTATACCCTTCGTTCTCAGTCCTTCTTCGCCATTTTCCCTATCCTTGCAGTGTACTAATTATCTATCCTCAGGATCTCCCGCAGTCGCTCTCTGTGTTGCCCTTGTTGTCGTCGATTTCCAACATGCCTTCAATCTGGAGCTACTTTCATCATATCTTATGATTTTGTTCGTTGATTGATTTCGTCACCCTTGTTTCCAGATATATTCATTCTGTGTTCGCGTTGTCTGATGTGATTTCAAGTTTTAGAGATTGGTGGTAGCATGTTTGAAAATATTTCAAACATTCCAACTCTTTCGTTTGATCTTCCTTACTTGCTATTTTGATCATCATTACATCGTCCACAAAACTCATACCGTGGATAGGTTTGTCATCAATTTCAGTCTGCGCACACCATCTGTACTCGTCGAACGCGCATACCATGTTGGCAATGGGTGGGCTAGAGCCCTTCCCCATTGGTATCCCCATTACTTGGCATAATAATGTTCCTTGTACTTTGAAGTTTGAAGTACGCGTGTTTTATGTCATAGAACAACATATCCATTAGGCACTTAATTTATAATGTTCTTCATCCGTAGGTTCTGTTTGCTTTTAAAAAAATCATGTACTTTCCTCTCATCTTGTAACAAAGTGGGTTTTCCGTTTTTCTTTCGCCGTTTTCATCATCCATTGCATGACATTTAACATATGTGTGTGATCGAGATTCGAAAACATATCTTTGACGTCGTATGTGGAGCAGATTATCGTAGTCATATCCCCATATGTTTCTTTTGCTACTTGATTGCATTTCTTCAGTCTAGGTACTAGTTGGTTCGTTCCTTTTAGTGAGAAACCAACTTTCAATGTTTGACACCTGAAGTTGATAACTCTTGATAGTACCTTCGATGCTTTCCGAGATGACTCCTTATATGTCGACACAATTGGTCGGCGTCTGGTGACATCCTTGTTTTTTTGAATTGTATACGCATTTTCGTACGATCCCTGTTCATCCCATTCTGCGATTTTCTTCAACCCACATCCATGATATGTATTTTTGGCCAATTAAGTGATCTCAGATTCCGTTTGTTGTATAATTTCGTAGTGATTCGATTCCGGAAAAATATTTTGGGACTTTTCGTACCATATTTTACGACATTCCACAAAAGTTTCTCTAAGATTTATGTCCAATGGTGATAGGATACATTGTGTCAATCTTCTTTTTACTTCCCATACTTTTAATATGTGAAGAAAAATCTTCATATCATTCTTCTTTTCGATCCAAGTAGAGACATCTATTTTAATTTTTCTTTTCTTCCTTAGTGGTCGTGGTATACTTGCAATGGTAGTGATGATTGTCCTTTTAATTTCTTCCTTTCCAATTCTTTCGTTCATATGGGGTACGTTTTTTACATTCTTCAAGAGCTGATTTTCTGTGATTTCACTTAATTTGCAGGCAATATGGTTCTCAAATTTTGGAAGTCGGGATACTGCACAATTACAGTCCGGTGCTTGTGTAAGCACATGTCTGTGATTGTGTAATATTTCCTCAACTGTCTTTGATTTTTTAAACATCACACGCATCCGAGCTGTCAAATTGTTTGCCAAATTGTTATTACTTACGTTTTCCAAGATAGACTCGGTTGTTGTGTTTCTCACTTGCTTCAGATTAATGCATGCATCAAATGAAATCTTAAATATCAGTTTTCTCTTGATATTGAATGCAAACTTCTTCTTTGAAATTCGTGTGAAGATACCTTTAATTGTTCGTTTTGGCTTCTTTCCGGTAATCGATCCCACCTTTGACAGAAGAATCAGTATATCATCTAACGATAATTTATACAGTACCCTCCGTCTCCATGGTGCCCTCAAGCAGTTAATCAGAATATTTATATGTTTGTTTATTTGTTTTCGGTCTCGTATGCACCAGTTGGATCACATAGAAGATACATCCATTTTTGATTCGTTTTCTGCATTTTTTTAGCTGAAACTTTGTGTTGTCAATTTCCACAATTATTGATCCGAATGTTCGTTTAATTACTTTTCATTTTTCATTCTATAGTTTTCCATCTGTGCAGTAAATCATTGCTTTCGGTTGAAGTATTGATGTTAACTTCGTAGTGTAACCCGATCGAACCGATTTAAACAAAACAGGTATATTCTGATTCACCTCATTATTTTCATTCTTCTCCCTCTTTCTCATTCTTCGTCTTCGGTTTTTCCGAGTCTTTCTGCCTTTTCCCCTTGTATTCAAAAATGGATTCAGTCTCCTAATCAGTGTTGCTTCCATCCCTATCACCTCTGATCTCGCTCCCGTCCAAATGGGTATCAGAACATATTTCTCCCAACCAAATTTGTGCAGCCAACTGTATAATTTTCGTTGTGCTCCTCTATTCGGATTCTTGGTCAAGTTTATGTGTTCAGTCCATCTCTTGTCGGGCTGTCTTCCTGTCCTCCCCACGTACATATGTTTACACCAAGGTGAAACTCCCTATACTAACTAGTTGCTCAATTTTCGTTGATAACCTGTGTATCTGCTCCCACTTCTGTGTCGTGGTGAGGTCGCCTGATGCTGAGATGTCTTCTACCTTCCCGACAGATCTTCGACGCTCGAAAATGTGTCGGATGAGTCATACTCATCACTCCCGCTTGATCTTGTACTGAGGCTCTCGTAATCATCCTCACTTGTGTCGCCGTCAGTTGTATTGGACACTCTGATGTTATCTGGATCTGGCATGATCTGTGTTTCAAAATCAGAATCCCGGTTGAAATCCCGCCCCTTGTAAGCGATCAATCCAGGAACTTGCCTCAATGCCGAGATCGCTTGCAGTTTGTCCTTGTACCTGATGTCATGCATCTTGCATAAGACCTTTAGGTCCATGCAGTGAAGACGAAGGAGCTGCATGTCCGTCATCGGTTCGACCTCAAAATTAATGCTCCGTTTTGCCTTCGACTTCGTTGTCGACAAGTTGCGATTAATCTTCGTTCGTCCTCTCTTGGGGTGTGGAGGGATTATGCATCCCAATCTATTTTTGTTCGGTGCGCTTCTGCTTGGCATGCTTCGACTCGGAATGCTGCGACTACCATGTACTGAAGTGCAGCCAACTGTATAGTTTTCGCTGTGCTCCTCTATTTGGATTTTTGGCCAAGTTTATGTGTTCAGTCCATCTTTTGTCGAATTGTCTTCATGTCCTCCCCACATACATATGTCTACACCAAGGTGAAACTCCCTGTACTAACTAGTTGCTCAATTTTCGTTGAACGTTTGAGGTCTTACTTTCACAGCATACACATGCAAATGTAGACAGAACGTGCGAAGTTTTACTTTCATAAAATACACGTAATATCCATGGCATGCGACACCAGTCACGATTACCCTTCTACCTCACTGCTCAGGTAATCATTTCAGCCACTATCCTCAGTATTTATACCTTCGTTCCCAGTTATTCTCCGCCACTTTTCCTATCCTTGCAGTGTACTCATCATCTATCCTCAGGATCTCCCGCAGTCGCTCTCTGTGTTGTCCTTGTCGTTGTCGATTTCCAACATGCCTTCGATCTGGAGTTACTTTCATCATATCTAATGATTATGTGCGTGCTACTCACGTACTTTCCTCTCTGTCGGAATTTCGTCTTACTGTGGTACTTGCCTATAACTCCGCTGTTTTTTTATACTGACTCGAATCTGGCCTTGTTTGTTGTTCTGTTCTTGTTTACTTTCATGGTCGTGGATTTTCCTTCATTTCCAGGTGAGTA